GTTTCAGGTAGAACATGACCGTCTCTTATACTGCACTTGCGTTTGGAGTGGCATTAGTATTTTCATGTAAAATTAGCGATTCTTATGTGCCACTTGCATTTTGTGTCCATTACGTTTCCTTAAAAACATAGGCCACACTTGAGAGTTTAGTTGATGTTAGGGTTTTCATTAAACCATCTGTCTCACATGTACTTGAGTATGTTTTGGCACACTATTGGCCATATCATCTTGCTTTATGATTACATGGTCAGATAATGTAATTTTAAAACTCACTAGGTTTAGTAAAGCTTTCAGCACAGTAGTCTTCTTTGCTCTCTCTCTCTCTCTCTCTCTCTCTGCAATCTTGCATCTATGTTGCTCTTTGACTCTCTTTAAATTCCAATATAATGACAAATTCTCAAAAACACTATATTTAAGAGAGTTGGGGGAAGAAAGAAAAAGAGGAGAGGGTGAAAATACAAGAAAATTACAGCTACATCAAGTAAGGTTATGACTCTTTAGGATTTCAAATGAAACAAATCATGTAAAAAAATACAAGCCCCACAAAGCATATATATAACAAATCACAGAACCTAAACAAGATTAGGGGTTCGGCGTAATGATGCAAAATTATATGCACCTTGGCTGTATTGAAAACTATATGTACCTTGGCATTTACATCTGCATTCCTGCTTAAAAGCAATTTAGTGATGTTGAGATGACCACGATCGACAGCCCAGTGTAAGGGGGCACGGCCCTCACTGTCTGGAATCATTTCAAGAAACAATTTTTAATCAGGAAGAACCTCAAACAAACGGAAAGACAGAAAAATCTGCATTACAAGTTCCTGGTAGACATCATTCAAACTCCGGGATTTTGAGTCACCTCACCCACCCTAAACGTTCTCTCAGTTCTCCACACTATTAATTTTTTCTTCTTGGTAATAATGCAAGAGAATCATCTTGTTTCAAAGAAGACTGACCCATCCTCAGAATCGGTTATCAATTAAAAACCATAATCAATGCACTTAATAGTGAATCAAAATTATCAACATTAAAACACCATACGTAGACTTCAAAAGAACTTATGTATCACATTGTGAACCAACCTTTCACATCCACAGGAACGCCACTCTCAATGCACTTAAGCAAGTTCTCGTCGTCCCCTTCTCGTGCAAAGGCATGTATCTCATCCAATTTTCTGCAAAGAAAATAATGAGCATGTGATTTATAAGATTTCTTCTTCCCTAAGTATTTTTTTTTTGATAAAGGTAACATTCCCTAAGTATTATAAATATTACAAAATACACACATATAGATAAAAGACAAATAAACAAAGAAGGTTTGCCTCTTAGTGCAGGAAAAAAAAATTAAGATTGGAAGACAAATAAACTCTATAAACAAACAAGAATATCAGAATGAAACTCCAAAGAATGTTTCTGCCTTTTGATGCCAAGAAAAACTAGTCATAGACTACATTGCAGTTTGTTGCGAATATAGTCCTGGAATAGAAGAAAGGGTGACAACAAATAAAAGAACTACACCATACCCAGTACCCGAAGGCCAAAAGAACGATGCCTTAGTTAAAGTTAAAACTGTCGAGCCAACTGGTGAAAGGTCTTCAGGGTTAGAACTCATAATAAAGTTTGATTCAAGCAAAGCTGGAAATTTCCTTCGACAGTTGTAATTTTAGGTAGAAAATTCAACTATAACTGGAGAGGGGTAGGACATGAAAAAGAAACAAAACCATGACATACTAATATACAACCATTTAATTCTAATTTTGTTCTCTTCTCCTTTACCAGTTTGGTAGTACTCCATATGCTTACTAGAAGAAGATGAGTAGCTTAGTCTTCGTTAGGAGCAAATTTGCATCCAAGGTATCTAAATAGTAGTAAAATAGGGTCCTACATAAGTTGAGTTATATAAAACATATTACATCCTTCCCTTAAAAGAAAGTGCAACACTTATTTGAAATAGCAAATAAGGATATTTTTCAGGACAGAGGGAGTGCATGATTTCCCGAGAGGGACACGTTTAAATATGTTATACAAGCCACAATTTAAAACAAAATCAGATTGCAAGAGTTAGAGTTCAAACAAGTTAAAGAACCTTACAACTCATTTTCGGAATCCTCCTCACTAATGAAGGTACTGAAAACTGGTCCCATTGGCCTTCTAGTATCTGCATTATGTGCACCACTACTTTCTTCACCCTTCTTTTTCTATTTGAGCATGTCAAGGAGGCCAAACAGAAATAAGAAGACATCAGGAAGAAGAAAAGGAAGTAGAATTTTTTTTTAAAAATAGAACAGGAACACAAAGACATGAATGCTTGCTATTAATAACAAAGATGCATGTCTTACATTTGCAGACCCATCAAGCCAGGAAGGAAATAACTCAGTCACGATATCAAGATACTTCTCCATGGCATCTTCAGGAGGCATGGCACCCAATTTCTGCCATGCTTGCCTAATACATGATGAAAGCAAATCTTAGCATCAGTCATTTAGAGAGACCAACCAAATATATTGCTGATTGCATAGAAACATTTGATCTATAAAAAAAACATGGAAAACAGGTTGAGAGGATTTTGCTTCTATGACCTTACTCTTTTCACCGTTAAAAGATTTGAGAAAAGCTACCAGCCTAGTATATGTTATATTTCAAACAGGATTACAAGGAGAGGGGAGACCCACACACCCAAAATGGTTAAGAGGATATTAAATACTCATTTGAAGTGATGAGCTATATGAAAAGTTACTGTCAGTATGTTTTAGAAAAAAAACTCTTTCTCATTCCAGATCGCGTCATTGAGATCTGAGAAAATGCCTTTCTCATGCCTTGGAGGATTTCTTTTTCTAGAAGATAACTACAGCGGAATCATGCCATGAAGATGCCACAAGCAACTTTATTTGAAACAACCTAGAAATGATAACAACTTGTTTTTCCAAGCAAGGTTACAGAAAAGTCTTTGGGAACTTCCACTTACCTCATTCCTTACATCCTATTATTTAACATAACTTGCAGTAAACTTTTGTAAATAAATTTCATAAGCATCGCTATCATTCCACATTCCACTAAGGAAACAATAGTTGCTTATCCTAATAAGTCTTAGCACAATATGATTCACTATATGTCAAAGTTACTTAGGCCACTGCAAAGTGTATCCTTTTGCACCAGTAATTAAGCATCAGCATCTAGTCTTATTACTCCTATCAAGGTATAATTCTATTTAACAAAAAACTCAAAACTACTTAATTCACTAATTACATATATCATAAAAGTTCACCATTTGAGTTACTTTTCCTCCCTTATGCTAACAAGGACATGTAACATGATATCTTATACAGATCCAATAGTGCTTGCTCTCTGTTTCTAAAGCAGAGTATCAGATTCATCAACAAAATATGTCAAACTATCTAGTCACAAAGCAAGCAAATGAAAATCTAAACTAAGACAGCAAAAACAATAAGAGGATTATTGTGGAGAGCATTACCATTTGGCACGAGCAGTCATTTTGAGAGCCGATGGCTGTGGAGCAGTGCAAGGTCCCTCAGTCGCAATCTTATAAAGCCCATAGAGCTGCAGTTGCACCTCATTTGATACCTTATGCGACCGATCAGCTGCTGTAGCCGCCACAAACGCTGTCGCAGCACTAAACGCCTCATCCAACTCAGTACTTTCTACACCTTCCCAATCATCATCGCTATCTTCATCACCACTCACCGAACTCCCTTTCAAACCGCCGTCGTTCCTCTGAATCAACGGTTCGGTATCTTCTGAAACCCCAGTAATATCAGCTTCCTCCGGCGATCTTTTCTCTTCAGCCTCGGAGGAATCCGCGCGCGTAATCCGGAGATTTTCATCACGGAAAGCGAAGATAATAGAGAAAAGCTTGGCGAGAAGGAAAGAGAAAATGAGACCGAAGATTATCGACTGTAGATACTGCTGCCAATCGGCCATGATTATTGAAGTGGAAACCCTAGATCGTCGGAAAATATATATGAGCAAAAACTGAAAGAAGAAAAAGGACGGCAGCGATAGTTGAGCTTGACAGTAGCGAAAAAGAGAAAATGAAAATGTTGGCAGTTGTTATCGGGATCGTTATATTATATGTACACTACATATATGACATGTATTTATTGTACGTACTAAATTGCGATACACGTAAATTTGATTTATCAAATGATAATTTGATGGAATATAAAATTTATAATATATTTACTCTGTGTAAAAATTGAAATTTGTGGTTTTAAATTAAAATGTGTGTATTATAACAAATGTTTATAAATTTTGTGGTCACATGAGTTGTTAAAACAAAGATAGTAATAATTAAAGAATAAAGCTCCGATCCTAGAAAATTACATACGTACGTACTCATAGATAGTGACTTGGTAATTGAAATTTACTATAGAGAGAAGAATATTCAAAAGTATTTTATTAGTTATATATGTATGATTCGTAATTAGGTAAATTTTAATTGTACAAGGTACAAGTATATAATCTAGTGTATAATGATGTGTTGGTGTATGTACTGTTGGTCATTTCAATTGCTCTGTCGTAACAGTTCTGGGCGTGCTGTTGTCGAGTCCGCCATGGACTTTTCGCTTTGAGTTAAGCCTATAATCCATTTCTTTAAGGGTTCGAGCTAGCTTGATAGTAAGCATTCATGGCATACATAGTATGAGCTCGAACAATGTTGGGAAGAAAGCATGGACTTCCATATTGGATTTGTCTGCATCGAAACCTAAGTTGCATGGACTCTTCAGATTCGATGGCTCATACGTGTCGGATTCTCCAAAAATATACTACTTTTGGAGAATCCAACACGCACCACTGATTCTTTTGAAGAGAAACCCAATCCACATGCATAGATGTTCCTGTGTAATGCTTCCTTGTCTGATTTCGAAAGACACCATGATTTCCCCTTAGCAGGCGCTGGTGTTGCTTGGTTCACAGTTGCAGCCTTTGGTGCCAGCATGACGGAAAATTTGCTTCAGCCTGCAAGCCGGAGGCAATTTCAAAAACACATCAAGCACACTAACAGAAGCAGTAACAAATTGGTTCTGCTATTAGTGTGACTGTGATCAGTATTGGCAGCAGCATTAGCTACCCTTGGATGTACGATTCCTATGTCATAGACTGGCGTCATATCAGGTTTGAACAGCCCAAAATTTCTTTCACATGTTGGCCCTGGCTTTAAGTCCTCGTTGAAGAGCGCAAAAATATAGGTTTCAAATGACCTGTTGGGCATTAGAGGTGTCCCAATTCCAGACATCACGTGTTGTATGAGCTTTTTGTTGTATTCGGCTGCAATTCCAGTGTCTACTCCTGCTTGCCCTGGATCTCCTCTTGATGGCCATCCAGTTTCAGCTATGACAATCTCAATGTCTTCGAAATCCAGGAGCTTCAGGGCTGAAAAAACTGCATCTAATTGTGCATCCAACATGTTTGTGTAGGTGAGTTGTGTGGTCTCGTCGAAGACCCCTGGATTAGGCCTAAAGAGTGCATAATCAAGTGTGTTATCAGAAGAATCAAAAAATGGATATGGGTTTATCATGAATGGTGAATTAGTAGCTCTAAGGAACTCAAGCAATGGCTTGAGAACATGGATGTCATATCCTGGTCTAAATTTCCCAGTAGAAGGTGGGCTTGAATTTGAGAGTATACCTAGGAAATGTGGAGTAGAAATTCGGATGTGACGGTCCAAGGACTTTTCAACTAGGGCAGCCTGGAGGGTTTCCATAGCAGGGACTAGGCTCACAATTAGTAACTTGTTGGCAGTTGAAATTACTTCATTGCCAACAAGTATTCTCACTATGTTGGTGGCAGGGACGTAAGGCAGGACGTTAATTTCCACCCATTGTTGGGCAAAACTCAACATGGTAAGCTGCGGAATTAGATCATTGGGCACATTTACAGTCACTGAAATGCCAGTGCGAGCAAATGCTTTCAAGATTTCTGGGTTAGCGTCAAAGAGCCTCACACGACGAATAAAGGTGGAGTCACGGAGGAAGCTTGCAACTTGGACTGGCGGAGGGAGGTCGTCAGCAACTGTACCATAATTGACACCAATTGTTCCTTCAACTCCTATTACCAAAAAAGAAGTTCGAATTATATCCACTGACAATGTATATAAAACACGCGTTGTGAATATCAAGCATCACTTGCTTACCTTGAAGGAAAATTGGTGCAAGAAGAACAAGCAATGCACCGAGCAGATGAGCCAGGGGTGTGTTGAAAACCTTATCCATTGCTCGGCTTGGTCGTCACAGGTTGCTGCAACTTTTTTTTATGTCTGCATGTCAGCAGCTTGGGTGAAGAAAGGCACCTGTTTGGGATGCTTTCCTTCAAAAATGGGCTTTCCAGCTGAAGTTCTGGAGTGTCAAATTAGGCAAGGAATATTCATGGGCCACCTCCTATTGGATGAGAATCTTTTCTTTTATGCTTTCGTCAATGTGGGATTGAGATATACCTATTGCTAAACAGTAAGGAATATACTTTTGAAGTTTGGAAAAAGGGCTTTATATGGAGTATTGAAGTTTGGATAAACTTTCCCTAAAGAAATTAGAGAATTTTGAGAAAAAGAAATGCTCAACTGGGTAACTTTAGGTACTTTACCATCGACAAGAGGGAGTTCCTCGGATAGTAAGCATCCCTCACTTCCAACCTGAAGGTTGTGAGGTCGAGTCACCAAGGGAGCAAAAAGGTGGGAGCTCCTGGGGGAGGGGTAAAAAAACAAAAACAAACAAAAAAAGTACTTCACCATCTCCAATTGTTTAGAGTTCCAATTTAGGAGGGGTAACAGTTTCTAACAGAGAACAACAACGTTCATATATACTACCAGTTCGCTTAAAATATCCTTTCAGTAACTTTCAAAAGTATAGGTTGGCATTTTGCCGTTAGACAGATCTCCGATAATATCCCACTGTTCAAGTCCCCAATTGCCTGATGCATATATCTTGTCAGCGACAAAAAATCATAAATGAAGCAAATTACAGAATGATTTGCTTCTAAAAGACCAAACATAAGTCCATCAGTTGAAAATTGATGCTTAATTAGACTATCAGGTATAAATGACGTAAGTTACAAGTAGAGTTGAATTTCTGTTGACATTACCAGGATAACTAACTCACTCACTTTGCTATACCAAAATGACAAATATACAAGTACGTAGTAGCTTACATTCAATTATTCCACGGAGCATGGAAGATGAATCAAGTCCGAAAAAACTGGAAAATAGCATAAGTTATCGACATCCCAAGTTAACTCTTCCTTCTTCGGTAATAGTTTTATTTGTGCATATCTTCTGTAGATCAATGTATCCAATGATTGTGTCCTCAAAATCTACACCATCAAGTTGCGCATCATTGAAGGTAGATCCAGATAGTACAGTGTTCTTAAATGAAGCTCCCTGGAGGTTGGCTTTCTCAAAGTTCACTCGATCAAGAACAGCATTCGAAAAGTCTGTCCCTGTATGTACTGAAGAGTCAGATTTCCAACTTTGAAAAAGACGAAAGTATTCAAAACAAGGCATACATGTATTGAAAGCTTAAGCCATTCTTTAGCCCTTCCCAGCGAGACATAATAGTGGTTGTTGTCAAATTTACCCATGGCTACTGTCAAAAAATCAGAGAAAGCATTGAAGGGCAGTACTACCATGATTTGCTAAAACATATATACTCCAAATATAAACACTTCAGCTTCAATTGGTTTTGTTTCAGCGAAGAGAAGGATAAGAAAGCTGGAAAAAGAAAAACGAACAGTACTTAATCTACCAAAACATGCACTCTCCTATAAAGATGCTTCAGTTTTACTTAAATGCAGACACACAACATCCATCCGATACGCAAGTAGTTTTGATGAAAAAAGAGTTATTCGTATTAGTCAGATGGCGAGGCAATAATAAGATCACAGGTGCTCAATCTCATTTTCTATTTCATCTATCTAAAAAAACTGAGTAGTTGAGAAGTACTCTATCAATGTGCAAATTACTACATAATTCCTACTGTTTCAACCGGCCTTGACATTAGAGGCAAATTACAAATTAAAGGACATTGTATCTGTTATATAAGCATGTTAAGGACCTCATTATAAATATCATGAAATACTAATTTACCAGTAACATGTACAGGAATTTTTGGACATATATGTATAATTCAATCAACTGCACTCAATATTTCTTTTTAGTTTTAACCTTTTGCTTCTTCAGTCGCCTTAAAACACAGGGAGAGAATATTTTTTCTACAAAAGTGTAATGTGAACTTACCCTTAAAACTAGCACCAACAGCATAAGCCTTAGACATGATCACTTCAGTCATGTCTGCACCATCAAATTTTGCATCAGACATGAGTGCTGCTGCAAGTGACTTCCCCTTAAGATTAGTTTTCTCATTTGTGTAATCACAAAAGCGCAGATCAAGTGGTTTATCATAAACACCATTGGCTTGACCTATTGTGTTTCCAACAAAGGCCCGTTCACACCTATTTGGATCTGTTGATAATGGAGGCAATCTCTGCAAAATCAACCCGAAATGTAAACAAATGATAATCTTGCATACATGTATGGACCTATGAAGCTATGACAAGTCCTGATAAATTAATTCTAAGTCAAAATGCACGTAGGCTTATTTCCTGTTTTGAGAACATGAGCTGTAAGATGTTTTCTCTCATTTTATGAGGAGAAATAGTTCAACATTGCCATTGTAGCATCAAAGTTGCTCAATGTTGTGTTAGGCTTTTGGTCCATTCATTCCTTGCAGTCAGCAAATTGTCATTTTTTACCCTTCAATTTTCAACAATTCTTTAAAATTTCCCTCAATTTGGAGCTCCATTAGGGGTCAAGGATACAAAACAATTTTCATATTGGCGGGGTTAATATTAGATCAAAAGTCTAATGGATGGCAAAGTTGCTCGATTTGAAACAAAAAAGAGCCAAATTTGACCCTTTCCCATTTATAAGACGCACTTTCGCAAAACATCAAATATCTCAAATCCCGTCCAGCTCAAACCTAGATTTCCGTGCTTTCACATGAACAATATAGGTAATGGGAGTCTAAGATAGTTAAATGTACATGTCAGGAGTGAAACATCATGTGGATCGAAAAACTATACAACTAATTTTGAATTTCTTAATGCCAACTAGATTAGGCTACTTATTTGCCAAATTAAAAACTTAAATGGCAATAACCTTTTGGGTGAATTGGCTCACATAATTTAACTTGGCATAAGCTTAGGCCCATCAATCAACAGAATACCTATACGTACTTGGTTAAGAAAAGAACCGTCCACACATTTTAAAACAAAAAAATAAAGCAGATTTTAGACCAAGTTTTAGATGAGATATAATTAACAACACAATTCAATACTGTGACATTAAAAAGGTCTGCCGTATTTTCACGGCTCGAACCCGCGTGACCTATATGTAAATTAGAACACACTGAAGGAAATATGTGAAATCAAATAGCAATAGAATAACTTCACGGAATTTGGCCCAACCTGACCAGCAGCAATAACGGGAGAAACAGAAGAAAGTGCCCAAACAGCAAGGAATCCACAAGCAACATTCCTAAGTTGCTTAAATTGAGTTGAACTTTCCTCACTGTTGGAACAATCCTTGGAAGCTGCCTCCAGGTGCATCAATCAAACATAGATCATAAACGAAATTCAGATGCGATTTCAGCTTGAACATTTATGAGAATTTGAGTATGAGAAAAAAACGAGAATCGTACCTGAACATTTGATTTGGATGGGTGAGTGAAGTTGCGAAGGGCGATAAATTGGGGAACGACGGAGAGAATGAGATTTATACGCTAAAGGAATCGATATTGACGCCATTTTTTGTGAGTATTATTGCCAGCACCTCCGTTGTTCTCATATCATTCATGGACTTATCCATTCATAACCCCAGAACTGTAGATACATCTCCATCCTACGTGGCATCTAGACGCTGCTCTTTTTTATTTTTTTATTTTCCCCTTTATTGTTTTTTTTTTTCCCTTCTTTTTCTGTTGCTTATAAAATATTATTCTGTCTGTTTTAATTTAATTGTCTGGTTTTTAGCTAAAATAAAACTTTTGAATTTTATTTGATTTAAATGCAGGAAAGATATTAAATATTTAAGGGTCATTACGTAGAGAACAAGTTATTTCGAAATTAATTATTTCACTTTATATACGAAATAAATTATTTTATCACTAAGTGGAATAAATAATCTGCATAATAACTCCAACCAAATATAAAATAAAATAGCCTTACATTTTATCTCTGAAAAATAATTTGAAATGAATATTTAATTATAACTAAATACCGGGGGAAAACAATTTGAAAAGGTATTTTCTTAAAGTAATTGGTAAGACTTAGCTGGTCGATATATATCGAGAAGAAGTCACCAGCTGTCCTCATTGACCATTTTCGCCTCTTCCATCTCTATCTTTTCGCCCAAAAATCTCTCTGTTCTCTGGACTAGGGTTTTTCTCTTTGATCCATCAAATCTTTTGACGAACAGTTCAGAATCCTATCAATCATGTCTTACGAGAAGCTCGACGGTTTGGCGAGGTGGTTCGGTACTAGTGTTGCAACGGCGTTTTTCGCATCCTTGGAACGATGCTCGTGTGTGAATCTCAACACTTCCGAATCCGACGATGAGGAAGAGGAAGAAGCTAAAGAGCGCCCTCTCATGATCTCCGCCCTCCCTTCTCACCTCGATTCCTGCGCTGCCACCACTAACCCTACCTCCGCTGATAACCTCCCCGTTTGATTCGGTAATTTTAAAATTTTTTTTGCCTGTTTCTATTGTGAATTTTGAGTGTTTGTTTGCTAGTGTTGTAAGGATAGCAAGGAAGCAACTATGAGAATCGAAGCTGTTATGTAGTGATTGTTTGAGCTGATTTGCGCTCACTATGTAATGTATTTTACTTGAATTAGCTTGAACTATTAAAAAGGAGTAAGCTGTCAATTTTTAAGCATTGCTGCATTTTGGTATTGAGAATCATTCTCTGGCCTTTCTGGTCCTGAAACAACATAGCATGTCTGTGTATTATGTGTGTCAATACATGAATATGTACATGCAATGCTAATTTGAATTTAACACTATTAAATAAGGTTTCATTATTCTTTTTTCCAGTTTATGTTAGTTTAGGTGTGTTAACTTGTTATATTGGTTGTTTATTGCATGTTTGTGTCATAGAATACTGCTGATCCCAAGTACTCCATCTCCATAATTGTGTATAGTAATATAGGAAGTAAAGAGGAAAAGGCCTGACCAGAAAAATATGTGTATATAGAAACATATTTAATGCTTTAACAACTAGCTCCTTAGTTGCCTGGACTCTTCACCGTTAGTGTCAGACGTGCTGACACGACACAGGTGTGGATGTAGTGTGGGATCCGTACGGGATTTGGTCAATCAATTTTGGTTACTTTGACCAAAAACAATGGAGAAATTTGGAACTAACAATGATTTCTATTACATGCCAACCTAGGAAATTTGGAAATATACAATGGAGGAAAAGGACATATACACGGAGCTAGCCTAAGTTGCTCGGACTCGGTCACTTGGTAGTTTGTAACCTTGAAGGCTCACCCTCTACGAACGGATAAGAGTTCTTTTACAGTAAGAGTTTTTGTTGGAACAACCAGTGCTAGTTTCTTGACTGTTTGAGGAGAAACCACTGCTAGAAGTGTTCACGTAGAAGCTCCTCTTTCATCCGCTGGTTTAGGCTAACAACAGTTTTAAGTTTGCAATGCAAGTTTGTTCATTCTGCCAAATGGATGATATTTTGGGTTTATAGAGTGTAAGAGATTGAAGACAATTAAAGTGCTCATCAAGTTGAGCAACTCTACAGGAACGATAGGTCTTCTTGTGTGATGTGTCGGTAAATAACTTGAAAAGGAAATGTTGGAAGTGGATTTTTTTTTAAAGGAGGTGTATTTGATGGTTTATTCTCTTAAAATTGCAACTTCATGGATGAAAGTGAACTCAATAGCCGCTACACCTAGCTTTAGCAATTTCTTGATATTGTCTCATCAATGTTGTGTTGTTCTTTATTGCTTTTTGGTTAGATGCCAAAGTCTTTAAATGAATAGAGGACTTCTTATGGAGTACTAACTCGGATTGTTAGGGAATCCGCTCATTGTCAATTTCGTGGCTGTACAAAATTAGGGCAATACATTTATTTCCTGATTTTGCTTTAATAGCTACTCCTATATCATTGTCAGATAGGATCATGACATTGTGGAGTGTGCAGTTCATTAAGTGGATCATAAATGTTGTTACTACACACGATCTATAAAATTCCTTAGTTTAGAGATGAGATGATTTGTGAATCTATTTTGGTGAAAAACATCTTTGTTACTTTACTCACCACAAAAACTGCGCTGCTGCATGGCCACAACTTCTCTTGATTAGAATGTTATAGTTGCCTTTGTGTTATGAATTATGACCCTGTGGAGAAACTATGGTTGACTGTAATTGTATTTACTCTCACAAGAATACTCTTTAAGTGGATCTGCCTCAATTCTGTAGTTGTACTTGGCTCACTATCAAAAAAAATTATGTAGTTGTACTTGGTTAGATTATGTCTGTTCTGTAGAGGAATCGGTCAATTATAAAGTACTGCAATGTATAGAACGCTTCCTGTTGGAATATCTGAAGAGTAAAGACCATACTGAAATGAGGATTATGTAGTGCTGGTCAGATAAAAGACTTCGAAGATATCTCTTTATATCTCAAACCAATGTCATCTTGGCCAAATCACAATTCTATTGATGAACTGTAGACTGTTTGCTTAGACTAATAGAAGAGGTCACTAGTGTTTTGGTTCTAGAAGAGTTTACCTGAACAAAAGGCTTGGTTGATATGAGTCAAAGACTTGGAACATTCTTGATGCCAATTTTTTGTGCTGTTTCAGACTTGCATATTTGGCAATGAAATATATAATTATATATAGTTGATAATTTCTTTAGATAATGATACCTACTTCAGTGATGCTTTTCCCTTTTTCTTTTTTTCTATTTGATAGTTTGTCTTGCTGCTTGAACAATAGTTTGGTTGGGATCCATGATTTGCTTCTTTTCTCATGTCCACCATACTTTTGCAGCCTTTTCTCACCTAGACAACTCACAATGCTGCTTTATCCTTCTTTTTTCTCAGAAGTGGGATCATGCTGCAAATTTGTTGAAGTGGTCCTTCGGCTCCATCAGAGCATGGGTTTCATTTTTTCTTCTCCGTCAACAGAGTGGATTCACTCTGGTATAAGATGTAACATTTTAGTAGACTTTTGATAGGATTGTATAAAAGTGTATTGTCTGTTGAAAGTGTCTTGTAGTACATTAAAAGCACTGGTATGCATTTTCCTTTTCCTTCACCTCATCATATTGGAAGTTACAGTGACAGAATTGGCATGCATCGCGTTTGGGCTACTTAAATTTCAAAATCTCTACAGATTATGATTCATGTTTGTGCATCATCTATACATGTCACACCTCCTTGGTGCCAGACTTGTGTTTGCTTATATTGAAAGAAAAAAGTAGCGGACCTGTGGGGCTGTGACTTGTGAGGGCTACTTTAATGTTCATTTGCTTAAGCAATTAGTAATATAAAAAACAAGTAGCGAAATAGAAAAGAAATAGTTTATAAATTATATGCTTTGCTATTCATCCGTTTTTTTGCTAGTTTCATATCAAGGAATGTGATCATGGACTAAATGTGAGAGTAATAGTTTTGTTTGTTATTTCCTTGAACTTTGGCGAGAATAGCTGAGTAGGAGCAGAGAGTTTCGCCGCTCTACTGTGGGCGCCTACACTTATGTGTCAGAGCTATGGAGGAAGAAGCAGTCCGATGTGATGAGGTTCTTACAAAGGGTGAGGTGCTGGGAGTATCGCCAGCTTCCATCAATAGTGCGTGTTACTAGGCCTACTCGTCTTGACAAGGCACGATGTTTGGGTTACAAATCCAAACAGGGCAATGTGGTTTACCGTGTTCGTGTGAAGCGTGGTGGAAGGAAGATGCCTGTATCCAAGGGTATTGTGTACGGTAAGCCTACCAACCAGGGAGTCACCCAATTGAAGTTTCAGCGTAGTAAGCGATCTGTTGCTGAGGAGCGTGCTGGTAGGAAATTGGGTGGTCTTAAGGTCCTCAATTCTTACTGGATCAATGAGGATTCCACATATAAATACTTTGAAGTGATCCTGATTGATTCAGCCCATCCTGCTATAAGGAATGACCCAAGAATCAACTGGATCTGCAACCCAGTGCACAAGCATAGAGAGCTTCGTGGACTGACTTCAGCTGGGAAGAAATACAGGGGTCTCCGAGGAAGAGGACACTTGCACCACAAGGCAAGACCCTCAAGAAGGACAACCTGGAAGAGGAACCAGACTCTGTCTCTACGCCGTTATCGTTGATCTGCTTAGAGTTTTTCAAGAGTTTCTTATTGTATTATTGTTCACGACTGTAGTAGTCCTTTCTTTTTTGAAATCAAGTTCAGAGAAACTTGGTAGAACAGCTCAATTTGTGGAAAAAAAATAAAAATTAATCCCGATCTCGCAGTAGTTCATTGACGAACTTAATTTGTTTCCATTGATTTTTCTTCGCAATATAATCTGAAACCACTCAAATTTGACAGTGCAGCTACACAAATTCGAAAAACGCAGAGAGTATTTACACCCACGAATATCCCCACAAAACAAGCAGAAGAAAATATTTAATAGGTACCTCAGTTACTGGAAGAAAAAGGCAGCGTATTATGAACAGAATTGCAGTTAAAGAATATTTCAGCCGTCAAAGACTTGGGCTGCATATTGGCTACGTGATTGATTCGATCCATTATACCAAATCATAAGATGTTTGTTATAGATTAGCGATCCTTGACGACTCTTGATTCAATCGATAATCAGATCAATAAGATATTCATTAGTGTTTTAGGAATTAATAGACTATTTTTGGAAATGCACTACTTTGGATGCCTGTTAATCTCAATTTTTAGTTCCATGATACAGTCAAGTTGGTAAGAATTTCAATTATTAATTCCAAATTCTCTTTGAGCCAGATCCATATTCATGAAACTACTACTAACAAATTTAAATTTCAAGAACATCAACGACAAGATTGGATACAAAAATTGATGAACCTCAACACAAGGTTCAAATGGGTGTAATTTTTACTTTGTAGGAGAGCCCTTATAAACTCAATGCATATACAAAGCATATACACTAACTACAACTACTACTGTACAGAACTAACAATTGCTGTGATAAGTCAAATTTCATACACGTTGATTCATCATCAACACCATGACACTACTAAATCTAACCTTTTTTTTTTTCCTTTTTCAAAGATTGAAACAACTAAATCTATCTTTTAAAGCTATAAATTGGAAATGACATCTATATGTTAGTGTAATCCTGGGTCACACCGGCATACCCCTCGTAACTCCCACTTCTTTTATCAGAAAAAGCACTTGCTAGAGAGAGCACTTGCCTGGAAGTATTATCACATTTGTAGTAAACTCAGATTCATGTACAATTCCGCAGCTAAAAAAGCAGTGCACCTAGCCTTCTCACTAGTGGTCATGTGGTCAATCTCCGTCTTCGTTGAAGCAAATAGCAGATAAAATAGTTCAATCATTCTGATGAGCCAACAACCAGTATGAACTGTGCAAGTATAAAACAATCTCTACTTGTGCAACTATATATCCCACCATTGGCCAGCAGATATCCATCTCCAATAAGTTAGAATTACTGGATTTCTCCAGAACAAAGCCGAGATAGATATACCAGAGGATATTTATCAATTAGTGGCAAGGGCACGGCACACACACACACTGTTGTATCCTTCCATTGAAGCCCGGATGAAAAAGATTGTTCTTAAAAGGGTGGCCCACAACATAAATTAACCCTGTAGTACCTACTACTCAAAGTGGCAAAGGCAACCCATAATTATGAAATGATCGTATTCGCCCATCGTAGCCAGCAGTAACAATAACTAAACCCCAGGAATGAGAATTGGATGAACTCTGGCAAGAACTTTTCAGAAATTTGTATTCAGATTTGCACATCCCAGAAGACGTTGACCGGGGACTTGATACGGGAAGCTTCTCTTCAGGCCAGGTTGCTGATCCTTTTGGAATTGCCTCAAGGAACAACTCACTGCCCAAAGAAAGATAAGGAGAGGAAATGAAGGGTAATATGTTGTTTGAAGTTTGACTTAGTCCTCCTCCACAATGCCGTCCATTATCTGGATTTACAGTTTTCAAGCCGGACCAGGGTATTGCAATGGTGGAATCACTGGAGAAGAACTCAGATGACCTCACCACTTTAGGTTGAGACACATAATCTTTGGGAACATCACAGTTCCATACATAGACATTAGAATCTTCAGACGCTGAGACAATATGCTTCCCATCCAAGGTGAAAGAGGCAGAGAGATGGTTTCCTGCAGTTCGCGGACCTATAGAACAGAGTAGAAGTAAATTAAAATCAGTAGAGGATAAGAAGCTGCAACAAGTTGAGCCTAGAAACTACAATGGAGTCGCAAGTCGCAACCAGTACTCAAGTGAAAAAAGAAATGTGTCTCCTATACATCCCACTGTCATACAAAATCACAATATCAATTTGCAGCAATTCACATTGCCTTCAATTCATTAAAGCAAAGCACAAGGCACTCAAAAGACGGGGAAAACGGACATCAAATAAAATATTATCTGAATTAGGGAGAAGGGAACAAACCTTTGTACTTGCCGATCACATTGATACCATCTAGGATTCTGACGTGAGAGTCAGCACAAGTAACCATAACTTTTGATGGGTCTTGTGGAAAAAACTGCATTCAGAAAGCAATGTATACGCATCTCATCATAAGGTACATCAGAAAATTAATCTGACCAGAACCACAAACTGTAGTTTGGTGATGTAATATTACCTGAAAGCCAGTAATCCTTTTGCAAATCGACTTCTTTTTATTGGCCAAGCACATCTGCTTGTCTAATTGTATCTCATGACCTGTCACAATACAACTTTGTCTCAACTCCAACTAAATATAATATTGTAAGTTTTTGCTGAAAAAGCATGGACTAAAATACTAAGTCAGAATATTCCCAAACGTTCCTAGTAATCTTGCAAACACCTTTGACACTCCAGAAATAACACATCACTAAGTTATACATGATAGCTACAAATATTAGTAAGTTGTGGTCTCATGAATAAATGCCTCTTTACTTCTATTACGATTGTAATAAAAGAGGCCAAGAAGTGCAGACAACCACAAGCAAAATGTCATCATTTTCGAAAATCTGAAGGTCAATCAACACCCACATTCCATTTAAATACGAGTAACAATTTGACATATAGTGTTGCAATGCCATAAATTTGAAAATCTGACTCTGGGAGATATTAATGACGGCAAATAACAATACCACAAAGCAAATAGTGAATGTTACCTTCCAAACTAAAAAAACGGCAACTGCCTGCCATTGAGCCAATAATCCCACCCTATATGAAGCAGATTATTTGTTTCAATAATTTGCTCAAGTTTCTGAGTCTGCTACAGGGGTACCATGATTAAAAGATGAAAATTAGCATACCTTTCCATCAGGACGATAGGAAACAGCAGTCACTATGTCTCTGATGTCCGTCCAATCCAATACTTGACAGCTGTTAACAGCCCAAATTCGAATTTTCCCATCTATTGATCCACTGATGAAGTATTCATCGTTCACTGGGTTAAACTGTATGCAAGTCACTGCAAAATCAAAGTGAGTAATACAGCATGAAACTCAATCACTACAAATATGTTAATCACAAAAGAATTCTAGAGTGGAGTATAATAAAGGTCTGTACATACCATAATTACTATGTGAAAAAACTCTGAGGCACAGATCATTTCCAACTTGCCACAGACGAACAGTTTTGTCAGTTGATGATGAGAGCAAACACTGCAGAAACAATACATAGCAAGAAAGACGATTACTTTCAGAATTTTTCAGAAAATTGTTGATCAAAGACAATTTAATAAACTTACATTATTTTTTGACCACGAGAGATCCAATATCTCCCCAGTATGCCCTTGGAACACATGCAGCGGTTTTTCCAGAATTCGAAAGACCTTTGGAGGGAAAACTACACAAGCAGAGTCTCTTGTTTTCTTAAGGCCCTTCAACATACTACTACTTTTCTCTTTATCTATCACCAGAGGAGCCAATTGAGAAAGATGATTCACCGTGAAATACATACATGAAGGATCCAACTCTGGGATATCAAATTCATTGGATCTCTCATCTTCAACCACTTGCCACACCCGCACAATCTTATCTTCACCAGCACTAGCGAGGTACTGTCCATCAAAACTGAATTTCATAGTTAAAATTGAACCCTCATGAGCCTGGATATCCTGCCCCATGAAAAGAGCAGAGAGTTCCTTCAACCGCTTCTTACAATGGTGAACTTTAACCCTCTGAACTCTAGACCTCTGAACAGGGTTGGAACTGTTATCCTTCAATTCAAGACATCTCCCTTCGGCATTTGCTATGCACGTAAATGACCGTAGCCTGCTTAATAACCGACTCTTAACTCCATTTAGTTTCTTCGGTGTGTCTCCATTTTTATCCAATTCTCCCTGTCCAGGTTCACCAATAACGGGGGACATACATGAAGAGTTCTCGGGTTCATGAGACATTAGCAGGCGTTCCAATCTTACAGGCCTGTTATTGCTCTGCTGGCCGTTCTCTGCCTGAACATGTACATTGCACCCAATTCCACTATCAACATTGCCACTTCTAAATGAAAAATTCCGATATGAACCCAACTGTTTAGGTGAATCCAAACCTTCGCCCCCACACAAACCAGACCTAGAAGACCGGTAAGAAGAAAACTCGTCCTTATGAATTGAGGTTCGTAATACGGCTCCACTACTCTCCATAATTCTTTCAATTTCCCCAGTAGATAAATTGGAGCTTCCACCTATATCTACTGGATCTTCTCCAGACATTCCATCTAAACTTAAACCCATCCAACAACGGAATTGCTTACGCCGCTCAACAACACTTCTGGGGGTTTTAATCCACTCATCATAGCTAACACCATTGACAACCCCGGAGCCAGAATCAGGAATTGGGGTAAAGTTAGAACCCAAATCAGAGCCCTGGGAAATACTATCCGGGGCATCGAAAAATCGACATTCCCCTTCATCATCACTGAAGCTACCCATGATACCTTGAGTTCACCCCATGAAACCCCACATCAAGAAATCATCTTTTTAAGCCCTAGGAAATGTGTTAAATAATCCATCCTTCATATAAACCTAAATAAACAAATGAAAAGGAAATTGCATTTAGTAAACAAACACCAAAACACGACTACCAAGATGACTAAAACTGATTAAAAAATTCAAAAAACTCCATTATTCTAGTGACAAGAAAAACAATTATACTATCTCCCTCTTAACCATTACAACAACAACAAAAAAACAATAGATCCAGCATGGATCCCAATCCACTCACATTGAACCTGGTCTCCCCCACATAACATACTTCAATTTCAATAAAGGGTACTACCCCCACCCCCTCCTCTTCCTCTCTTTATCCATCTGCATAGAAATGTGAACCCTAACTTTCAAACCCAAATAAATAAGCAATTTCAAATCCAACAACAAATTCGACTCTTTATAACATTTAAAGGATTATTCAAAACACCCATCAACAAGAATAAGAAAAAAGATCAAATTTTTACAATCATTAACATGAAAAATTTACTAAATCACATAGGAAAAATTCAAGAAAATATGAAAAATTAAGGGCAAAGAAGATTTTCTCACATGGGTCCGGCTAGTTTCAATGAAATTGAATGGATGGGAAAAAAGAAAATGTATCAGAGAGAGACAACACAACACAACACACTCTTCCTTCTCCTCCTCCTCTCTCTTCCCTCTCTGAACAAAGAAGAAAGAAAGGACTGACCATTTAAATTATTAAAAAAAAAAAAAAAAAACAGAGAATTGAAGGGTGTAATTAATGGAAGAAGAAGAAAGATCTAAAATTAGGAAATATTTTTTGGCAAAAAAGAGAATAATTTTGGGGTAAAAAAAGAAAAAAGGAAAAAAAATATTCTTGATATTCGTGATTACGGATGGCCCGAGAAACGAGATTTGGAGAGTAGTAATAGTACGCTCTCCGTTTTATTTTACTTGATTCTTATATTAAAAATAAATATTTTAATTTAAATTAATTTTTTTTAAATATTATCAATATCGTTAGTTAAATAAAAAATAAAATTCTTAAAAACTTGTGTTACGTTAATATGAATCAAGTAATATAAAACGACGGAATTATAAGGGTCTGGTCCTATTCCTATGTGGTCTCTTTGGTACTTTTCTCTATTGTGCGCCACCCTATTTTTGCCCACAACTGTCTCATTTACAGAGTCCCCTTCTCTTTTTATTGTATTTTTCAGCTTTTTTTTCCTGAATGTAATTTTTTTGTTCTACTTTTTTTCTATTTTTAAATATTTTTTATTAAGTGAAGTGGATTAAATGGATCAATATGGCTAAAGAAGATTTATAAATGGTTGGGTACATATTTAAAATTGGCTTAGTTTGAAAAGTGTTTTTCAAAAAAGGTATGTTTGGTGACAAGTATGAGTTTGACTAATTAATTTTCAACATTTTTGAACAATAATTGATATTTGGTAAAAAAAAAAAAAACATGTTAAAGTATATTTTTTCAGAAGTGTTTTTCAAACAAATATTTTTTGAAAGGAAAAATAAGCTCCATTTATAAGTAACCAAACTCAATTATGGAAAAAAGGATCTTGCAAGATAGCATATTCTCCTTTAACGAGTCTTACCTCACGTAAATTTGAATTAGTTGAAGTTATAATATAAGTAGAAATATACACTTACATTATGACAAATATAACTTATTTTTAGTAGTATTTTCATTTTTTTCATTCATAAAATTTTAACTTTATATTCATGTACGAATATAACTTATTTTTACATGCATCCTTCTCTATTTTAATTTCAAAATATTATTTTTATCAAATCTCAATTAAAATCATAACGAAATATTTACTTATAAAATTGTTCAACTTGCGTTATTAAATTACTATTTATATCATTTTATTACTACACATTGGATTAGGTTTGATTTCCATGGTGTAGCAGTTAATTTCAGAATTAATTACGTGTGTTTAAATACGTATACTCCATGCTAACAGTTAATCGCATTTAATTATGCGTGCTTTAATTGGGTTGCATGCTAACAGTTATTCCTATTTACTGTTAATAACGACGTTAAATAGTTTATTTGTTTGGTCTTAAACGTGGTATGTCTCATAAATACAATGCCAACATTTATTCTTACTACATGTTTTTTTAAATATTCATGACTAGTACTACCATTGTTTGGACTTGTAATGTTTGTCAATTTTTAGAAACTATCTTGTTTTGTTCAAGTACTATAGATTCTTTTTTGTCTCAAAAACAAATTAAAATGTAGTATGTACTGCTCTTTTCGTTTCATATTAGTTGTCATATTTTTGTTTCATACGTTCTTTAGAAATTATAATAAGAAGTTCTTTTATTAAATTAGTCTTAACTCTTTTCAATTTAATCATTTTTAAAAAAATGAGAATAAATAGTCAATACCAAAGTTAAATGACAATTTTTAGTAATATTGATGATTAATATGGGACAGAGGGAGTATTTCATAAACCAAATTTAATCCTTACGTAAATTTCGAAAATCCAAAACAAATTTTCACCAAATGAATATTTAAGGCAACTAGATATTTTAAATTGATTTATTTTTCCTTCCCAAAACGCATATTTCTAACAGAAGGAAAACACAAACTAATAAGTGATTAAATATTGATATAGAAGAGGCTTTAATATAGTTAATTGAGATAAAATATAAATGAATTAATTAGTTGATATTTCACGCTAAATTTTAAGATGTGATTATTTAAAATATTTCACCTTAAATGACTAGTAATTGTAAGAGCTTTCCTTCATAAAATGCATACTAGGAGTGACAATTAATTTAAATTTGTCTGATTATTCATCCTATGTTTCTATGAATTAGATCATGATCTAATTATTGAGTTGACCTAATGAATTGAATTCAAAATGACACATCAACAAATCGAATCGAAGTAATATAGTCTGTCAAATCAAAAAATGTAAATCATATAAATTGAATTACTCAAAAATAATATGTTTGTTTGAATTTAATTCGTTATTCTTAATTATGTACTATTGATTTTAGAGAAGAAAAAAAACTAAAAAACATTATATGACTCCAAAGCTCAGCAAAATCATGTTGGTTAAGGAAAAAAGCAAAATGCTTTAAGTGGTATCTTTTTATTAGTGAATATCACACACATTTTTAGTATAATGATTATAAGAAACAAATAGGTCATGAGCTTCTGGATGAAACTTCACATGAACCTACCATGATCTAGTCTTGGAATTTAGCAGTTGTTATCATTGTTCTTTAAAAAGAGAGGGATCATGTGTTATGTTGAGCTGATTAGGTTATGACCCGTTATTTGAGTACAACAACAACATATCCAGTGAAATCCCACTAGGTGGGGTCTGGGGAGGGTAGAGTGTACGCAGACCTTGCCACTACCTCGTGGAGGTAGAGAGGCATGACCCGTTATTTGAGTAGTTTACAGAAATTTCATTAGTGTAGTACATAAGTATTTTTCTTTTTTTTCACTTTTCACAAATTTATATGATACACATATTTTAAAATTAATAATAGTTAAATAATAAACTTGTGATATTTGTTGTACCAAAGTTTATAGATGCACACAAACTCATACTAATTCAAAGAAACAGTCATATTTCTTTGAAAATCTGGGATAACTTAAGCCATTTAATTTGGATTTTATTGTTGGCCAGTTCTTTAATTATGAAACTGCAACATGTCATTTTTAAATGAAATTTAGTAGCGTAAGTAATTGAAGTATACGGGAAAAAAAATTGTTATTGAAAACGATTTAGATAATAACTAGGTAGTTGAGAATTGATTATACAATTATTATTTTTGTTTTTACAAGTTCAAATAAATTGTTTCAAATACTTTAAGGGACGTATAATATATTTCGTAATTTATTTTTATTCTTCGACTTAAATCGCAAACCACACCCTAATGCGATTATATATTTTTAATCTAATAAGTTGTGTTTTGGGGGTTCTATTAATCCGAATTTATATTGAAAAAAAATATTATACTGGTGAAACATTTTCTATGAAAACCAATAAAATCCCTCTTTGAGGGTTCAAGTGGTACGAGGCTAATTATTGATTTTATTTTAAAAGAAACTTTTTCTTATAATATACTTTGAGAAAATTACAAAATTAGACCCTTATATTTCATAATATGTTCAAAGTAGTACCTTAAATATCACTTTAGCAGTTTTAATCCTCCAACTTTAGCAATCATGACTATTTTTGGTCTTCATCATCATATATTTACTCCAACTTTATAAAATTTAATGTTTTGAGAAATGTGTTAGATAATAAATACTAATATTTAATAGCAAGGATAAAATAAACACAAAAAGTAAATTATCTCTTGATTTTTTAAACTGGACAAGTATTATTAGACAACTATTTTAATATAGTGGACAACTATTATTGGATTGGGAATATCAAATCTAATTGTTAAATTTATTTGGAACTATGAAAACATAATAGTAATGGGTACTTATATTTGGAGGTATGATTTTTGCTCTATTTTTTAAGTTCGGTGCAATTTGTTAATGAATAATTTTTATAATCTATTGCCTATTATATTGTGTCCGATGCAATATTTATGTTGCGATTTTTGAGATTTTGATGGAATTATTTTGGTTTTATAGTGAAAACTTTTCCACAATTCCGATTAACTTTAACAATCATATTTAGAAAAATATCTTTTAAAGACCAACTATTATTTTTTACTATTCCTATTATTATTCTCTATAATATTTGTTAAGGCTCTAATGAAACAGAGGGTAGAAAAAACAGAAAAAAGAGGATGAAGTAAACGTGGTCAGTGGTCAATTTAATTGTTTTTCAAGTCAACACACACAAATTGACTTGGACGTAAAAAGAAACAAATTCCGTAGGATCAATTTGACCATTATTTTTCAATTAGAAAATTTTAACCGTATAGTCGATTAGTGAAAACAATTACTAACATTGATAAATTATCTATATCACACTTGTTGGAATGCCGGCCCTCTCTAAATTGTTTTAATAAGAGAGGCATCAATTTTTTTTTAATTATATATACTATAAAATCAAGCTTGAGACAAATTATTTTTTTTATTCTATTTATTCAGTGTTATGTTAAAAAAAATCTAATTGTTATCAACAAGAATTGTGGTGGAATGATAAGTATTCCTTCATCATTAACGAGAGGTCTCGAGTTCGAGTCACCTTGTGTATAGAGTCGATTTTGTTAGGCAGTGTTTTATCCCGAGGTGGAACTTTCCAACGCGAATTTGAATTTAGTCGGATTTTAATGTGGGTACCGTACATTAATTTGGAAATAAATAAAAAATTAATTGTTCTGCCTTTAAAATATGATATTTTTAAATGTTCACTAAAATGAAAAAATACAAATTTTAGCTTTCTAAAGTATATAAAATAATGTGTTGATGATTTAAGGAACTTATTAAATTAATTTATTTGCTGATTTTTTTTTAATATATATTTTGAGATGATAACTATCAGATGAATTACATATAACAAATTAGATCAATATTTTATTTTTAAATTGACGAGTATAGGGTGCAGAAACTTTCAAATTTTATTAAATAGAGGCTCAATAATGTAAGCAAAAAGAATAACGAATTATAGAGTGATTAAATAATGAGAATAAAAACCGACCAAAAAAAATTATGAGAATATTGACAACTTATGCCAATCAACTAGTGGTGGAAAGAAGAAATAAAGGAAAAATAAAAAA